GCATATGCAACACACAAGAACTTTGAAAACTATCAAATGGACGTCAAGTGTGCCTTTCATAACGGGGAATTAGAAGAAACAGTGCATGTGGAACAACCACCTCGGTTCGTAAAAAAATATTCAGACCACTGTTACATTCTGGACAAAGTTGTCTATAGTCAGAAGCAGGCTCCACGAGCCTTGTATGAGTCTCTTACTAGATTCTTAAAACAAGATAAATTTAAACAAGGCTCGATCAACCCAAATTTCTTTCGTAAGAAATACGGGGACCATCTGATGATCGTCAATAAAATTTACCAATGATATCATCTTCGGATCTACTAATTCTAGATTAATCGTAGAGGCCTGAAAGTTGATGGAGACTAAATTTGAGATGAGCTCAATGGGTCCATTAACTTTTTCCTTGGTTTGAATATAAGACAGAGTCAGGAAGGAATCTTTATCAACTAGGGGGCTCATACGAAGGCCTTACTTTCAAAGTTTGGAATTGTGGGGGATTCAAAGGTGAAGGTTCCAATGGCATTCGGAACAAAGTTAACACCATCTTTGGATAAACCAGCTGCGGATATGACACTTTATCATCAAATGATATTATGTTCTCTGTTTTCTATTTTGCAAGGTTTCAAGCAAATCCTCACGAGCCCTACATGACCATTGTGAAGAACATCTTCAGGTATTCAAAACGAACCTCTTCGCTTGAAATTTGGTACCCATGTAGTTCGGGGTTCTTTGTGCAAGCATTCTCTGATGCTGATCTCGGAGGTTGTGGTCTTGATTGCAAAGGTACAACTACAGGATGTCAATTTCTTGATGGCAAACTTGTCAATTGGCAATCGAAGAAACATACCTGTGTCTCCGTTTCAACCACCGAAGCTGAATATATAGCGGCTACCTCATGTACCTTGCAGGTGATATGGATTCAAAGTCAGTTAAGGAATTATGGCATAAACATGAAAAGAATACCTTTATACTGCAATTCTGAAAGTCCCATTCGTATATGTCATAACATAGTAAAACACTCCAATACCAAACACATAGCACTGATGTATCACTTTATTAAAGATCACGTGGAAGATGGAAATGTCGAGATTCATTTTGTTAGATTCGCTAATCAACTGGCTGACATCTTTACTAAAGTCTTACCATAACAAACTTTTAATTGCATTCTTCAAGGCTTAGGAATGATTGAAGTTGAATCAGTTCCAAAACCACCTTCGTACTAGGAAAATATTGATTGAACTGCAAATAGGTGTGAATGCTCGTAGTGGTTCGTAGTCTACTGTTCATCCGCAAACACTCGTAGTAGCTTGCAGTCCACTGTTCATTCAGAGGTTTGGAACTCCTTGTATCCTTTGTATATTTGTACACCTATGTTTTCATTATATATATATATATATATATATATATATATATATATATATATATATTCAGAAAACACAAAAACATTTTATTTATTTCTATTTTTATTTCTTTTTCATAAAAATTCAAAAAATATAAAAATATGTTCTTAATTTTTAGTTGTATTTCTCTTTATGAAAAATATCAAAAATACCAAAAATAATAGACAATTGAGCAGGATTAAAGGAACATGTCATAACACTCTCATTTGTGAATGATGGGGAAGGTATTTAACTCTAAATCTCTGCACTGGTTACATGTCCCTAAAAGCATGATGTTGCATGTTGTCCAAAGCCTTTGAGACTCTATATTCGAAGCCTTTAATGATTTGATTATACCAATCATTTCTTCCCAATCAGGCAGAAATTCATATAAGTCAATGAGCTACCTTACTCTTCTCACATTGAGTTAAGAGTTAACAGTTTGGTCACTTTCATATAGCAGATGTACATGTCACTTCGGAACCATCTCCAATATTTCTCCATCACTATTGCTTCCATGAAATGTAACCCTTGAGACTCTCGAAATTTACCATTGAGGTTGATGGTTGCATATATTCTATATTAACGATCTTATATTTGTTATCACCACAAATTGAGTAAAACCCAAAATCCAACACATATTTACAAATTAACGGTCAACAATTTATAAGTTCTAGATTACTCACCACTGAATTGACGATACTCCACTTTTGTGGTTCGTATCTTGAAATCTCTTTTTATTTTTGCGAGATCTTAATGAAATGTTCTAGACCTAAGACTTTTCTTCCCATAAGATCCAAATTCTATTTTTCTTGAGATTTCTATAATCCAACTACTCAAAAATTTTAAAAGGCATACTTGCTCTTATGGCTACACTGGTTAGACAAGTACTTCATCCGAACGTTCATAATTATGTCAAGTTTTGGAGTTTGGTTGAAGATGAAGCCACCCCCTTTCTCCTTAATAAAATAATCCTTTCACTGTTTCTCCACAAACAGATGATCGTAATTCAAATTGACACCACACAAGCACTTCAAAGTCTCTTTTGACTGTGAAGGAAGAGATCGTTGCCCGAGATCCATTTGTTTTATGTCTTTATTGACATCACTAGCATCCCTTAGAGAACTTGTTTTATTTCTTTATCTTTGGCAGATTCTTGAACGAAGATGCTTGTGATTTTCAAAAATCTGGTTCGTTGTCCTAATGGTTACTTTCAGGTTCGGAGTATTGTACATGGTGATCATCTGCGAAAGTTAGCAACTAAAACGACGATATTAAAGGGATAAGATTTAAATTTAGGCATGTCAAATTTGAAACTGACACCTGATGTCACGCCGCCTGATACATGCCCCCTAACATCACAGCTATCACTCATTTCTTTTTAGGCGAGTTTTTAATGATTTGGTATAACCAAAACGTCGGATTTCTCTCACTTATCAAATGGTATAAAAAGATTTCGATGTTTCATTATTTCTTTACCACTTTCAAAAGCACTCGAAATTCTCCCGAGGATTTCTCTTTCTACTTTTCATCTTCTTATTCACCGAGTAACAACGGTAGCCTCATCTAAAACCCCTTCAATCGTTGAACAAATTTCACAATCAGCACTACTCAACATCAACGCTAACCATAATCACATCCTGGACCTTGAGTCATCCAAGTACGACGCCTTTCTCCAATTGTTAATTGAGTTCCTACTCTATTCTCCATTGGGAATTTCTTTGAAAAAAACTGAATACGTACCTTTGATTCATTAGTCCAAGGCATACTCGACTACCTGTTGTGGTTAGGAGGAAGAGATGATTACTTTCGAAATCAATAACAAGAAAACCCAGATCACTATGTCCAGGTTTTGTAGCATGTTAGGGCTTCCTCAAGGTCGTGACCTAGTCAATCCAGATTCCATATCCAACTTTGAGATCTAGGAGATATTTTACCAAATGAGATACCAAGAGGTTCTAGCTGCCATCTCCAAATTCAAGAACCCTAATCTTCCGCCCATATGGAATGGGTTATTTACCCTAATTTTCAAAAGCTTCTTTGAGAGGATAACAGTACCCGATTGTGCAAGTAAACTTTTTCTTACGATATTATATGGTGACTACTCTAGAGTTAATATCGGTTATGGGTCAGTGCTTTAGGTTCAACATGTTAACAGTACACTTTCTATAACCAGGCACAATGAAATCTCATGTGCATGTTTTGGGGCAATAGTTGTTCAGAGGGCTATTGATCGCCTAAACATTATGGTGATAGAGGGTTCAATTATGGCAAACATTCTATTTTTTCACATAAAACACTATTATGGCTGATAGTTCACGGTTTACCTTCATCGCATATATCCCAGAGATGATTCTTCGCAATGTACCATCTGTGAGTGAAGTTATGTGAGCCTATCGCAGTCTACCGGCCTCAGGTCTTCGTCCAATGATCGATTTTGTACGAAAGGTTCTTAAGGAGGATGATAAGACGAAGAAGGAAGGTAAAAGAAAACCAAAGGTTGGACCCTCCGAACCTGTCCAAACTCCAAAGAAGAAAGTGACGCAAGCTACTCGCAAACCCAGGACTCCTACTTCAAGTGACGAGGATGATTCATAGTCCAAAACCATCTCTAAAGTTCGCATTCTAGAGAAATCCCATCAAGATCAAGATGACACTTCTGCGAATTTGCATCCCATAGTTTCAGAGCTGATTACTATGAAACCATATGTAACTTTCTTGATGCCCACTTCCATGCCTATCACATATGATTTCTTCCAAGACTTCATTCCTTCTTCACCTATGGATACAACAACTCCAATCACGGTTGTACCACTTCCAAATGTATCAGTGGGAGTCTCACAATCTCAAATGTGTATGGCACAATCTACTGCATTGTTCACCGATTCAACAACAATTACCACCACAACAACTCCACAAGCCACAAGTACTCCTCTAGTCTTAGTCCACGTATCTGATACAGGGGTAGGCACTTTAGGTGCTACTTTCGTTCATGCTTCTCATCCTATTTCACCTCTTAGACAAGATGATCCAGATACAATTTTTGGTGATGACGACGATGATTATGGAGAATTTACTTATAGTCATTTCCATGTTCGTGAAGAAAGTGATGATGACACTCTAGTCACTAAAGGGCAACTCAAGGCCATAAATGAGAAGTTGGAATTTTCAATTATATCTACCAAATCATCCTCTCACGGTGACTATTCTAAGGAAACTATCAAGTCATTTCTAACAACCCTCACCAAAGAGCATGATGTGAATCTCAACAAAGCTAACAAAGTGGTTGGGTATTCAGCAACCACATGCAAGGAAGCGACCAAAAAAGTCGATAAACTACTCTCTGATGTCAAAACATTTATGGGTGACTTTCGCACTCCCTTCAAAACAAAACTACCAAGGCCAATCAAGTCATCACAAGTCTTGGATCTACACTACAAACTAAGAAATCAGCCCTCTTAAAAGTTTGTACCGACATCTAGACTGATCACACCAAGTTTCAATCACCCATTTCCTCCAAGATTGAGAAACTTCAAGAGGATTTAGCCATAAAAAGCAAGATAATGGATGCACTAGCTATTAAAAATGAAAAGTTGAAGGTTATGTCTATAAAATTGCGGCATGAAAACTCTTAGATCTATGAGCTTCAGTCAAAAATTTGTTATGAAAAGTTGCATAACTGATGTGAATGCTTCCTTGAACAATCTGATCGAGACTCGTGATTCTCTACTCACGGTATCTGTAAGGCAGCATCTGGCTGATAAACTTACATCTATGTTCTTGATGTTTTATATGCTTGAGGGTGTTTCGGAGTCTGGCACACTTCCGAAACAAAGGGGAGATAATGTGAAGCAATCTACGAAAGAACCCCAGAAAGTAGTCGAAACTTCTGATGCAAAAAAGCCGAAGGGATTTGATCCGAAGGATAATGTAGCTTCGGGATCAAAGGGAAAGGAAAAGGTCATCGATGATGATGATGACGAACATGCAAAACTTGAGCGAAAAGCTCATGATGCAGTTCTCGAGGAAAACCTACGAATCGCAAGAGAGGTTGAAGCATGTAAAAAACAGCTTTGTGATGCTCAAATTGCTCTTCAAGATAAAAAAGTGTTATTTCCTACTTGGTCCATGGAGATAATATTGACCGAATCAGTTGACAACCCGAGCATTCACTGGTTAGAGCCGGTCACTTCCTGTTTTGTTGTTTTGAGAAAATTGTGAACATTCTAAATTTGGATGATAATGCTAACAAGTCCCTTTTGGATATCTACCTGAAGCATGGCAAGCCATAATACCAGACCTAGAGTTCAAAGAAAATAGCAGGTGTCAAGGTTATTGGGCCAATAGAAACTGAGAGCTTCGTCAATGTCAAATTTAAAACTTTCCGATGTTCTGAGAATTATGTGTTTGAGTTCTCACTCGCAGACTTGTCGTGTTTGAATCCATTCGATTGGATAACTCTATTACATCTCTTGATGAAGGATGAGAAGAAGTACGAACCCATTATGGAACATATTAACAGGATGTTGGTTTCATACATCTATGAAGTAGGGAAGATGGATATTGAAATTGTTGACGTGTTATGAAGGAAACCAACAGTTCTTCCTAATTCTTCTATGAAAGACATTGATAAGAAGAAGAAGGGGAAAAGTAAAAAAGACAACTAGAGTGTGATGTTGAAAAGAGGATCAAAAGAGAGAGAAAAAATACAGAAATGTTTGTTTGCTCTACCTGATAAACACCTGCTCTCCACTAGTAGCTTCAACTATGTTTTGGAGATCACTGGTAATTGAAAAGCGAATGATGATTTTGGGAAGAAGTGCTATTCCGATATGATCAGATGGTATATGGTGGTTCACAATACTCTGCTCAGTCTCATGCCCAAGCTCTTCAATACTCAGAAACGAACACAACCGTGAAGATTCTCCTTCTTTAATTGACACAGAGGGGGAGATTGTTGGGTCTAATGGACTGCATCAATTTTTTATATTTTGTACAATCCATTTTGTGTAACGATTTGGACCTGTACAACCTGGTTATTTATGTGCTAGGGTTTAGCTATATATAGTGTATGCATGCACCGTAATTAGTGTTGCTTGTTTAGTAACCCTAAACGTGCCTTTATAATAGCAGTTCTTGATCATGATCTTCTAAGGCATAGATTATAATCATTCGGCACTACTTTGATCTTCATTTTGTGCGTTTGATTCTTATTCCTATTCTTGAATCTATCGATCAACTCTTGATTTTTCTAACAGATGGGTTGAGGATGATGCAGTTGTTTGGTGAAGGCTAAGATACACGGACAATCCAATTAATATTGTAGGCTAAAAGGAAGCGGTCCAACTTAATGTTGTAGGCTCAGGAGGTGGATCAGGCCTGTGTTGAAGGCCACAGTGTGCATGTATTGTATGTGTATTTTTGTGTGGAGTATTTTGAGGAACTCAGCAACTTTGGCTTATAGTTGTGGATTTAAATGTTTAAGGTACTTCTGCGGATCAGGGAAAAGCGAAGTCGTGACTGTACACACACTATCCAATAGTCCTCATGATTCTGAGAGATGTTATGTTCTGATACTCTGATTTTGATTCCATATTGTGGAACAATTATTTTGATGGTGGTTGACTTTTATAAAAATGACTGTTATTTCAGTTTAAATTTTGAAAATTTGACCATGGTTTTTTTGGGACATTACACAACATACCTTTTCGTGGGCGAAAATGAAATATGGTTCTTAGCCTTTAATAAAATAATTTTGGGTAATTCTCAAATCACAGAGTAAATTCATGTTTTATAGATATCTTTAAACACAAATACTTTTGGTCCAAACTTTTCATTACTAACTATCCTAACGAAAATTAAGCTGAATGGATTAAGTTATCTTGATTAGTATTAGAACATAGGAATTTTCTCACGTATGAAAAGAATAGTAGATATATCAAGGAAGCTATGATTTGGTCTCCTAGACCATGATTCAACCAATGTAAGTGCAAGAACATAGTATAAGACTTCAAAGTAAAGAGAATGAATCATCAACTTATTATGATTTGACATACTCTTATCGTTCTTCACACATAAAAGTGTTATTATTTCTCTCAAGGAAGGCAAAGAACTACATAAACCCTAAAATAACAAATATACTAGATTTGGATGATTAAGTGAAATCCCTATAAAATAAGGAGTCTTCCATCAGATAAGGAAATAAATCCTTCTCAATCATTGAAAAAATATCAATCACTAAACATTAGGATTTATAATTAGTGAACACGTCCTAGTCAGCTATAGTATTCGATATGGATCTGGTTGACGATAACATCTCAACTGAATCGTTTATTTATCAATTGGCTAACTAATGCAACACTTTAATTCATCAAATCATTAGGTTCGGCCTTTAGAGTCCCCCTCTATTTGGTCATATCAAAACTATACTAAGTGCTATAATAAAACTATATGAATAACACTTTATATTTCACAAAGATCACACATCTATAAAGGATCTAACAAAACTATACGAACTCAGATTGCTAATTCTTGATCACAACAATCTTATCAATAATCTTATGCTTAACTACGATGAAGTTTGAATGCATAAAGTCTTATATTCATTTGTCCAACTCCATTGATAGCAGCAAGTGAAACCCCTTGGATATGTATTTATGATTTTACTCATATTTGAGATAAAAATATATGATGAGTAAGGGCTTTAGAGATTTTCCATGGTACACAAAACTCACATATGTCTACCATTGTCAACATATAGCATCCTATATATATTATCCCATATCCGAGTGTTGTAATAAGATTCAGGTTTATAGGTGGTACACAAGCTAAAAGCTTGTTGTCAATGAGCGTTGTAGTTATATGTAACACAATCCTTTTAGAAGTTGGACTCGCTATATCAGTACACCTCTTTTTTTCTCTTTTTACATCACTAGAGTTACTTGCTTCAGGAGTTAAGTTTAGTTGCTTGCCTTTGAGATGATTTTGCTCAATGAAATGTTCTTATCATTTCCATGTTTTCCCTTCTATATGTCCATTATGCTCATCATCTCCATCCATTATGAGTAGCCATATGAAACTAGCTTAGAGAGTTGAATTGATTAATGGTGGGGATTTTACTGTTTTGAGTATGATGCACATTTAGAATTTTGTTTCCAGCTGGTTAGGTGCATCTCACCTTAATTATCTCCTCAAAATTTTTTCTTACTGTAGCAACCTAATCAAATATCTTCTAGTTGGAAGCCTTATTCAATTCTTCTAGCTTTTATCTATTCTGAATTTCTCTTGATACCAAATCAATTATCTATTGTTGCTTAACATGATCTCCCTTTATGACAGCTACTTGCTTGCTATCTTATCATATCTCTTTTATATATTCTCACTCAACAATCTATGGTTATGCTCTAAAGAGAACTACCTTGCTTCTTAAAGACACTCCTAAGTCTAAATCCATCTATTATATGAGAGTGATTTTATATTTCTTGCTAGGATTAGGGTATCAGTATTAAGGGAGCTTGAGGAGGTATTCAGTTGCTCGCCTTAAGCAATGACTCTTTGGGTGATCCTAATAGACAATGTTGAGTGGAATTGTCGGTAGAAATATCATGCATAAAATACAGATCAGGTTCAATAAAGTCTTCATCATTAGAATCTCCATCATCTTGACCTTACCCCAATGGACCGAGGATTGGTGGGTTCTTAAGTGTCATGTATTCACGATAAATAGGGTTACAGATGTACATTTCATTACAGGTATCATCATGCATGAAGCAAACAAGTCCATGAGATGGAGAGATGTAGATTTCCGACTGTGGTATACGCCGACTCACAATATATACAATTTCACCTCATATAAGAAATTTTACCCCATCCTGTCGATCCTCATGAAAACACAATCTATACTCTCAGATCTAAAATTAACCTCTTTACCTAATCCATACACCTGGATCTAAAATTTACCTCTTTTTCTAATCCATACTCCTGGATCTAAAATTCACCTCTTTACTTAATCCATACTCCCGGATCGGGTATGTCTGAACCATGCTCCCGGATCAATAACTATGCCCATTCCATACTCTTGGACTAGGGAAAATTAACTATGTCTAATCCATGCTTCCTGATTAATGACAAATAACTATGTCCTCTCCATACTCTTGGACTATGGACAAATGACTATGTCTAATCTATACTCTCGGATCGGTGACAGATCTTAAAGTTCTACCCTCCGTGTATATCTCACTCGTACTCACAAGGAGATACTACCCAATATTCCTCTTAATTAATTTAGGTTTACTCTATATCCTAAATCATTATATATTATCAGATATGCTCTTAACACGTATTTCAGACAATATCAAATATTTCACACATAAACATATATTTAATACTTTAATCAATACTTATATTAAAATCATGTTCATGAAAGGGACTATACACTCACACATAAACTCTTTAACATAAATTTAACTCTTTAATAGATATTTAATATTTAAATCAATACTTGTATTAAAATCATGTTCATGAAAGGGACTATGCACTCACTTGCTAAACTGATGATTCAAAATTTGGACAACGCTTCACTTCTAACAATCGTCTTTTCCTTCGATGAAACCTAACATTATTATCGCTATGGCTTACTCTAAGATTTATTGTGACTAGTTATTAGTATAGATTCATCATTAAATCAAAGTCTACTTTCATGGTCTATCAAGTAAGGAACAACCAGGTACGATCATATCGGAGGTAGGGTCCGTTTGGAATACAAAATATACTGTTTGGAAATCCCACTTTAAACACCTAACTAAGTCACAGCCTAGGATTCATCTCCATAAGTAGATCCATCAGTATAATGACTTGGAACCACTGATAAATCTTGTTAATAGGTTCACAATAATGATAATGAACTTAAACATAAGTTATACTTAAAGTACCGTAAGCATAACTCAACTTACAGGGGGTATAGTGAGGAACCGAACCCTGCAGGGTCAGAATTTCTAAGCCAAAAAGCACTTTTTCTCAAAGCTTTCAGTCTCTATGAGGCTTTCTTCTAGCACCTTGAGGTTACTAGGGGTTTGTGAGGGTATTGAGAGGTTTAGAGATAAGTTAGAGAGAAAGAGAATGGGTTTTTGGTGTGAGAAATGAAGGCACCCTCACATGCTATTTATAGGCTGAATTTTAGACCTACTTGTCGAGTTTTAGTCTCCAACTCATCGAGTTAGTGC